AAAAAAATTTACCAAACAACTTTTTACTCTGCAAGTACTTTTATAAAAAATTTTACCAAACACTTTTAACTTCTCAAAAACAGCCCTTCCACAACAGATTCCATCTAACAGAACTTCTATTAAAAAGACCAGCCACACCAAACAGGCTCTAAGAGTCCCTCCTTATTAATTTTTGTGTATTTGAAGATTAAGGCTTTGTTTGAGAATGTCTCTTGGTGCTCTGCTTTTTGATTTTTTTTTTTTTTTGTATTTTACTACTCTAAAAATAATAAAATGTTAATTAAAATAAATATTAAATACATTAAATATATTTTATATAATTTTAAAATATTAAAAAACTAAAAAACATACAATTGTAATTATATAGTCCAACACTCACAAACAAAGGTTAATCTCTTCTAAAAAAATCTTAAGAATACACCTTCATATTATATTAATGTATTCAAAAAAATTAATTTTTTTTAAGTGATGACCCAAGACTTCAAATCTTGATAATATCCTACAATATAATACTTATTAATAGTAGATCTAACTTTAAAGTTTTTTTTTTTTTTTTGGGCAATGATATCACGTTATAGTGTAATCAACTTGGATACATTTAAATACCTTGCATTTTGATGTTCTGTTCTTTGAGGTCGTGGTCGTAACAAGAATTTGTTCTTCACCGAAGGAAGCTGTGGGTGGCTTTACCTCTATACCTTCGATACATATACCGCAAATAAATTGATTAAACCAACATGTCTAGCCAAAAAAAATAAAATTTAAAGATTAAAATATGAAATTAAAGGGAATCCATACTTACTATCATAAATCCGCTTTTGCAAACGCCCAAGCCTGTGTCCACTCAAGAATGCATTTGGTTGACGTGACATTATAAAAATAGGAGAAGATCCCTGTTGTTCTTTGTTTGTAGCAACGGTCAACTTTGGGTTATGCTTAATTAGATCCAAGCAAATATCTGGTTTATAAGCAGGAGAAAAGTTACCCATCATCTATTCCACTACTGTAAAGATATATTTCAAGAAGTCAATTATGATCGACCCAGCTAGGGAAAACATTTTAGTACGTACTCAATTGAAACCAAAATCATACTGTAAAATTAAAAAACTAAAGGCTTTCGGGATTGGTGGATTGTGTAAGTTTTTTTTTTTTTTGGGTATTATCTCAAAAATATATATAATATTTATTAATATTAGTAAAAATATATAAAATATTAATTAAAATTAACTAAATAATAAATTTACATTTTTAAACATGGTTCTTTAAAAAATTTGTGTAAAATATTCACAAACAAGTAAAACTTTAATTTAAATTTAAGTTTTAGAGATTTATTTTTAAATAATGTTACATTTAATTTTAAAAATTTTCCGATTAAGATAATATGCTACTAGTGTGGCTAGTGGAGGCAGTGGGCTGGGCTGGGCCACTAACTCCTCTCATGCATCCTGGATCCCTAAAACACAAGATACCATGTAAAATAAAAGAGTTTGATTATACGATTACCTAAAATTTTCTTATCCATGCCCTCCTTCAGGAGATCGAATCCATATCTGCCATTTTGTGATAGCAAGACGTCGGGTGGGGTGACAGCATAAAGGTAGTTTGTCATCTCCTTGTGGCCCTTAGCACATGCGGCAGTTACTGGGATAAAGCCTTGATCACTTTCAATTGTAAGTAATTTGTTGTTCTTTTGGACTATGCATTTTGCTACGTGTGTTCTTCCCGTCATTGCAACTAAGGTAAGAGCCGTGTGACAGCCACTGTTACTCGCAGTCTTTTTTTCCAGATCTGTTTCGGACATCATCTCTATCAAATGCTCAGCAATCTTATATTGCGCAGCCAGTATTGCAACATGAAGAGCAGTGGAACCTTCGTTTGATAATATTATCGTATCTAGTGGATGATTGCCAAAAACGAAAAACAGCCTAACAGCATTCCAATCTCCATTGCAAATGCTCTTTCTCAATTCCACAAGGCTAGAATCTTCAGTCATCTCATCTTCTTCCCCTATGAATAATTAAAATACTAATTAAAATTATAAGTACTTTACAATAAATTAGTTTAATTGAGACTCTAATCAAATCAATAAAAATTACCTCTACCCGATTCTTCATAATGAGTCATTTCAGTTATCTTATCTTCTTTTCCTGTCAATAATTAAAATATTATAATCAAATTATAGCTCAATCAAAGTACAATTAATTTAGTTGAGAATCTCTTTAAATCAATCTTACCATCAGATCTCCCCACGCCAATTTCTGGTTTCGATTCAGATTGCCCCGGTTGATGCATTTTGGCTAATTTATTCCAAACAACTTTTGCCGAGCTGATTTCTTTATTTGAACAAAAATTTCTACCCACGATGTAGTATGAATTACATGTAGAGCTGCACCATTCTTTCTCCTCCAATTTCCTACATCGTCCGAAGAAGAAACCAAATCAAATATTTTTCCCAGATTTGAGTATGCGCCGAAGATCTTGAGCTAACGGATAGTCTTGAATGTAAATTCTACAATCTTCAGAATTATCTTGTTTAAGAAACAATTGCGGTGGTACTTGGATCACTTAAGCCGCTGACAATTCTATTTTTCTTTCTAAGTAACTCATTGTATCTCCAATTATCAGTATATATCTTTTTTTGCTCCAATTTCCTTCTATCTCTCATTGTCTACATTAAAAAAGTTTTAGGTTAAAACATAATTGATACTTCTTCTTTTCACTTACCTTTATGCCTCAAGGGTCAAAGTACCCGCCCCCTTATACTTCCTCAAAAGTTGTCTTTAACTATTATTATCATAATCCTCCTTTTGATTCTCTTTTTCTATTTTTTTTCTTTTCCTAATAGGAGAAATCCAATATTAATAGTTTAATAAAAATTTTAACCAAACTTCGATATAAAATTTTACCAAGTTTACTTATGGTACTTGATGAGTTGAAATATTGTTCATAATATGATGCTAATTAAACCTTGATTTTATTAATATTTGAATGGATTTAATATGATTTTACTCAATTTTACATTATTTTTATTATTTGTGTAGAATAGGACTTTACTTTTAAAAATCATAAATTTGGAACTAAATAATTATGTTTCACAAAGTAAAAGAATGAACAAACTGATGAAATTAAGGAACAAATTATAGAGTTCTAAAATTGACCAAATCATAAAATTCTGAAATCTAAGGACTGAAGTGTTAAATTTTTAAAAATTAGGGACTAACACTATAAGATTACCATTAAACAAAGAAATAAAAGTTAACAATGGAATTATTTGTCTGGAGGGCGGCACCTCTTCTCGCTTACATTTTCCCCTTTCTCTGTTTATCTATAGGGTTAATAGTCTTGAACAAATAAAAAATAATATTTAATTTATCAATTATCTCATTAAATTTATTCATATAATATTGATTTTAAAATTAATATTTACTTTTACATTTTTCTAAATAAATTCATTATAAAATGATGTCCTTAACCTGTGTCATTAAAAAAATCCTTATCTATATAATTGGGGTGATGCTATTGCTACACCCTCAATTCCTAATGTCATATTTTTTTATCTTAATTGACTATTATACCTTTAATTTATTAAGAAACAAAAAAAATGTAAATTTTTAAGAAAAAGTATAAAGTAAAAGTATAATAAAAAATCATATTAAAAAGATGTTGCATTAACTATTTAGAGTATATAATTGTAGTCCTAAGATTATATAATTAGAAATATATTAAAGAAATATTATATCAACTCCTATAATAAGAAAGTGAGAATAAAATTAATGACATATTAAGTTTTATTAGTGTTGGATTTAAGTTACATTTCAATATGTATAAATTTTTTGAAAATACCCATGGAGTATTTGTTGAAGATTTTTTTTAAACTTATTGTGTATTTATTGAGGTCTTTTTTTAAAAAAATTTAATGGGCATTTATTTAAGTATTTTAAGAGAAATTTTGTTATTACAACACTTTTATATATTTAAGATTAAAAAATACATGGCATAGAGGTTGAATGGATAAAATACTGGATCAGAAAATTCTGTCTGATATTTATAAAAAGAGGCAAAATCATAAAGGAAACTATAAGGATAAAGGCAGGAAAACATAAAATTTTTATTTAATTTAAATCTCAAGATTAATTTAAAAAAAAAACTTTTTTTATGCCGATTTCGATGAATTTGTAGGAATTTCAGTTTTTTGATACTATTTATGTTTGATAAATTTAAATTTCTCTTAAAAACTTATATTTTTAAACTCTTTTTAACCTTAAAAAAATCTCAAACAGTAAAAACTTAAAAATTTCAAATCCAAACTTTTCATAAACTCTATTTTTGCTCACTTTTCACTCACTTTTTTCTATTTCTAAAAATAATTTTTAAATTTTTTCTCCAATAAAAATTTAAATTTATCACTCATAACAGTGCTAAAAATATAATAAAAACTCTCACAAGCTAAACCAAACAGCTCCTTAATTTTAAAGATTTTCTAAGGTCTAGTAGTGCCTTGTGAAGTTAATGACCTTAAGCGAAGTAAATCAAATATCCAGGGATATAAAAATGAGAATTGAAAGTTTTGGGCTTAATGGAATGGAATTGGAAATATGCGTCATATTAAAATGAATTAAAAGAGGGACTAAATTCAACAAATCAGAAAACTTTTGGTTACATTTTAAATAAATTGAAAATGGAGGACTTAATTGCACAAAATTTAAAAGACGTATACTAAATTAGAGATTAAGGAGTGGAAGCCATTGAAACGTTTGACCATTGAGTATGATTAGCACTGATCTAGTTCAATTAAACCAAATTTAAGTAATCAATTATGATTAATTAAAATTAATAAAGGTAAATAATTATCTTAATTAATCTCAATTCACTTAATCAAGTATTAATTAGTCCAAACTAACCTAATCAAATCATTGTTAAAGTTAATAAAATGATTAACTAATTAGAATTAATTAAATTTAGTTAAACAAAATTGGGAGTTGGATTTGGTTTTGCAGGCCTTTTCTTATTTTCATGGCCAGCAGAACTTGGGCCAGTCCATATCCATTGTAGGATTTTTTTTTTTTTTGGAAAAATTTTATTAAAGAGGTAAAAAGAGTACCTCAAATATGTTTATAAAACTACTATGAAATAAAACTAAAATTTACCTCAAATATGCTTGATAACTTTTTAACAGTAAAAGAAGTGTATACATGTCTATTGGCATGTAATTGCCAAGA